CCGAGTGGTCAAGACGGCAATCGCTGGGAGTTGCGAGGTGGGAATGACCGGGGCGAGAGAGACACGCGACATGAACAGTTCAGGGCGGAGCATGTGGCCAGGGTTCATCAAGAAGAGCTTCTCGCCGTGGGCCTGGGCCATGAATGGGAGGCCGAGGCGGAGGCGAAAATGCAGATTCCCAGTGGGCGCAGATGTCTCGAGCTGAGAACGCCAACCTCGCGAGACAGTCCTCTGCGAGGGCTCCCGCGGCGCCGCCAGCACGCGGCGGGGCTGCCTCGACCTGCGGGGGAACCGCTGCCAGAGCTGTGCGGGGCCAACCGCCTGACGGTTCATTGTGCTTCCAGGCGCGCCGCTCTGACTGCGCGGCATGAAGCAGAGCGCGCTGCGAGGGCCGGTGAGGCGCGGGAGCCACTAGATGCGCGCCGCGCGTGGAGACAAAGTCGAGGGAGGAAACAGGGCCATGCGCCGAGCTCAGGGGGTGGGTGGGGAGTTCCGTCGCAAGACTGCGAGGGGGGCGAGGCGGGCCATCTGTGCAGGGGGCGCGCGTCGCCGCTGACTCAGAGGAGGTTGGTGGGCCCTGGGTGGGGGCTCGGCTCGAGTTTGAGACGTCGTTCCAGTCGATCTGTGAGGGCCGCGAAATGCAGAGCAGCTTGACGCAGAGCAAACTAGCGGCGGGCGCTGTCTGCAGAACAGAAGCGAAGGCTGAGCGGAACAGGGAAGAGACTGTAGAACAAGGAGAGAATTGCGATGGAGAGCGAGCCGCTGGAGCATGGCTCGAGGTGGCGCCGGCAGAGGTGAGGGGGGCCCCTCTAAGAAGAACCGGTGCGCTTGGAGACCAGGGCCGAGGCCGCCGAAGCGCGGGCTTCCATGGAGTCACTCCCAGATAAGATCATATTCCTAAATCGTATTCGAAGGGGGCCAAAATGATGATGTCATTCGCGTGATGAGGCGTTGTCCTTGGCTGCCGACGAGAGGGTTTCAAGATGCTAGGCCGAGCGTCCAGGGTCGCCAGGGGCGGCGGGCCGAACGGCGGCCCGGGCGAAGGGGGCGGCGGGGGCGGCGGGGGAGATGATTTGTCGGAGAAAAGTTTCGCCGAATAGTGGGACCTGGTGGTGCATGTTGGAAGGGCAGCAAGGGGGGCCCTGGGCCAGGGAGGCCAGGAGGCTTTCCGGGGGGGCCTGGAGGCCTTCTGGGAGCTGGAGGACTTGGCTGGGAGTGGGCCCGGCGGCCCACCCAGCGTCTCACGAGGGGGTTCCAATCCGCCCGGTGGAGGAGGGCCGCCGGGGGCGGCGGCCCGCCCGGCAGTGGGCTGGGATCTCCAGACGCGCCTGTAAGAGATGAGGCGAAACCGCCAGGGAAGACAGTAATTGCGAATGCCGCCAGCCTGCCATGATGGGAAAGGCAGTCGCGTCGTGTTGTTGCGGCGGCAGTCTTAGATCTACGATTCCGACGCCGCCCTGGCCTGGTTCCATCGGGCATTGGATGGCGCGGCGCCCTGGGAATTCCAGGGGGGCGCGGCCCGGCTCTCGCTGCTCGATCTCGACAATTGCGGCCGATTTGCTAGCCGGGGGGTAAGAGATGACCAAGTTTAAAATATTCGCGATGAAGCAGTGATTGCTTGAAATCTACAGGCTCGGATAGCAGTGCATGTGGTCTGAGGGCCTTTTTGTGTAGGCCAAGAAATGGTGGGGCTCATCGTGCGATGCGCGGCGGTGGGGTATCATCGCAGCGCGGTCTATTCGTGGCGACCCGGCGATGCGCGCTGTCGCAGGGGGCGGGGGGTGGGGCGGCGAATGATCGACCTTCTCATTTGACGGATGGATATGTTGTTTGGCGAAATGGATGAACCGAGTGAGTAACTGTGGCCACGAGTGCTCGAATCAGCTCAGGTGCCCCGCCATAAATGGCGTCGCGGGGGTGGTTGATATCAGTTAAGACGAGGCCGCCGCGGTATCCGAAGAATGGGCCGCCGAGCAGATCGAGCAACGAATACTATGGGATATAAGGAGCTCAAATTGGAAAGCGAGAATGAACGAGGTTCGTGGAGCAATTATGCCTGCAGTGCCTGCGCGGCGGTAGGCTGGGCAGACGAGCTTGCGCGTGAAAATGGGCTCCGAAGAGGCATGTTCTGCGCTGGCATTCCTCGGCGAGTCACTGCGGGGGCGGGGCTGGCGTTTGTTCGAGCGCGACAGGAGTGCCGTTGCGAGCAGCGATGTGCAAGGACGCGAGAGAGGCAATATTGGGTGCGGAGGTAAAATGAGGAGGAGGAGGAGGAGGAGGAGGAGGAGGAGCGGTGGGGGAAAAGGGGAGGAGGATGAGCATGGAGGAGGAGGAGGAAGGAGGAGGGAGGAGGAGGAGGGAGGAGGAGAAGGAGGGAGGATGGAGAGGAGGAGGTGGAGGGTGGAGGAGGAGGTAAAATGGGCATGACCAAAGCGGTGAGAACCGCTGCGGTCGCGGGACGCCGAATGCCGCGCTGCCGCCTGCCGGTCCGATGAGAGGCGGCGGGGGTTGGGGTTGGGGTTTCTACGGCCGAATCTCTGCGTCCGATATTCATACCGTTCGTCTCTGTTCTACGCGGGCGCCGCAGACGCGCGCCAGTGCGAGACTCTTCGCGGGGCTGGGGGCTTCTCGGGCCTCTGCTGCCATGCCCCGCCCTCCTCCTCTCCTCCTCCTCCTCCTCCTCCTCCTCTACTCCTCCTCTCCTACTCCCCCTCCCCTCCTCTTCCTCCCTACTTACCTCATCGCCGCCGTAATCCTCATCCCTCCTCTCTCCATTCCTTCCTCCTGCCTACTCCTCCTAACATCCCTCCTCTCGCTCCCCTTCCCTCTCCTCCTGCCTCCTCCTCCTCCCCCGCCTCTCCTCCTCTTCCTCCTCCTCTATCTCCTCCTCCTCCTCCTCCTCCTCCCCCTCCTCCTCCTCCTCCTCGTCGGCAGCCACTGAGAAAATCTGTCCCGCCCTTGGCAAGTGCGATGGCGGGCGCGGGGGAAAGGCGCGCCGCTCGCTGATGGGGGGCCGACGAGGCCGCCAGTGATTATTGGGACGAAGACCGGGGCGTTGCCGGCGAGTCTCTCCCTTGCGCCCGCGCCGAAGTTCGGGGGGCGGCGGCGAAAAAGAACGTCGAGAGTGGCGCGCCTGGTGGGCGAAAGCAGTGGGGGGCGGGGGGCGTGGGTCGTGGCGGCAGGAGGGGTGAGGCGACGGCCTCTGTGGGTATTTGATCGAGTCGAAGACGTGCCCCCACGGTGACGAGTGTTTCAGCCGTGCTCGTGCTCCTGGGCGCCCGTGACAGGAGGGTGCGGCTTCGCCAGGGCTGTGCCCAGGGCCGATCTCGTGGCGCCCATGCCCGACCGCGGATGGTGAAGGAGGGGGGTCGGCTGGGCTCCCCGTTTACCTCGGGGGTTGCGTTTCATCCGAAGGAGACCAAGGAGGTGCAGTCATGACGTTCGCATTGAATTTGACGCTGTGCTGCCATTCTCGTTGGTTCTGCGAGGCCCGGAGAGGATGCAGGGTAATTCTTAGCGTGGTCTGGCTGTGAGATTTGCGTTTTGCATGCCAGGAAAAGCGGCGCCAGATCGAGCGCTCGCTATTCAATTCGTGGCGCCCCGCAAGTGCGGATAAGAGTGATGGGGCGGGCGCGGGGTGTGTCGTGGGTGAGTCGCGGGTGGGTCTCGGTTGGGTCGCTGGTAGGTCGCGGGTGGGTCGCGGGTGGGTCGCGGACGGGTCGGGGGTCGGTCGCGGGGAGGGGCCGCAGGTGGGCTCGTGGGTCGCGGGTGGGTCGCGGGGTGGGTCGCGGGTGGGTCGCGGGGTGGGTCGCGGGGTGGGTCGCGGGTGGGACGAGGACAACAAAAACGAAACAACAACAATTTGCGCCGTGGGAACTTATTTCACTCACGCGTTCGGGGACTAAGACCGTTCGGCCACTTTCATAATTGGAACGAGTCCTGTCAGAAGGCCATGTTTTTTTCGCCCCTTTCGCCCAGTAGAGTGGGTCCCCTTGAGGAGGAAACCAAGTCACAAAGGCGGCATACACGGGTCAGTTTAGGACCGAATGCTGGTCTCGGCCGTGATCCCAAATATGGCCGACACCATGGACACTGATGAGCAGTGATGAGGATCGGTGGGTTTTCATGCCTTCTTCCAGTACGGGGTTGAAGCAACTGAGAAAACGCATCTCCCATTCATTTCTCTGGAAGGGGAGGGGGTCCAGTCCCCATAGGTTCTTCCTGGGGGTGATGGTGGGGGAGGAGGAGGGGCTTTGGCGGGGGGCCCTCCGGTTTCTCACGCCGCCCGCTAAGGGTTCCCCTGGCGTTCGGCCCCCCATTTGACATAATCATTGTTCAAGGCACCGACGGTGGATCGCTGTCCTTCATATGAAAGGGATCCCGTGAGCCAGGAGGGGAGTGCAGGGAATTTGCTGGATCGTCAGGGAAAGCCGGTCAGCAGGCGAAGAGATTTTTTTCGTTCGGGCGATGACGACGGAGGCGGCGTCGACGTCGACGGCGGCGGTGGCGACGCCAATGTCGACGGCGATGGTCGCGGGACCCGGCCAGAGGTCTCCAAGGCTTTTCGGGGCCCCCCCGAGGCCCCGGGAGTCCACGGGAGTCTTTCGGGAGGCCCGACCATGGCCTGACACAACCGAGGATTTCGATCCTCCTCCTCATTCTTCTCCTCCTCCTCCTCCTGTTCCTCCCCTCTTCGTCCTCCCTTTCCCCCTCCTGCCTCCTTCCCTCCCTCCTCCCTGTTCCTCCTCCTCCTCCTGCCTCCTGCCTCCTTCCTCCTGCCTCCTGCTCCCCCTCCTCCTCATCATCCCTCTTCCGTCTCCCTTCTCCCTCTTCCTTTTCCTCTTGCTTTCTCTTCCTTTTCGCCGTCCTCTTCCTCCTCCTCCTCCTCCTCCTCCTCCTCCTCCTCCTCTTCCTCACTTGGCTTCAGACCGCCGTCCTACCTACTTCATTACCTACCTACCTCCTCCTGCTTCTTCTCCCCACTTCCCCTCCCTCCCGAGGAGTGTTGGATGACCGACCCCATCTGCACCTCCGTGGTGATTGCCTTCTGGCAGCGCGTGCTCTGCAGGGCGGCCGGAGGCGCGACTATGGCTGGCTGCCGCTTCCGGGAGGTCCCTCTCTCCCTCATTCCCTCCTCCTCCGCCTCCTCCTCCTCCTCCCCCCTTTTTCCTCCCTCCTTTCCTCTCCCTCCTCCTCCCCTCTCCTCTCCTCCTCCTCCTCCTTCTCCTCCTCCTCCTCCTCCTCCTCCTCGTCGTCCTCCTCCTCCTCCTCCTCCTCCTCCTCCTCCTCCTCCTCCTCCTCCTCCTCCTCCTCCTCCTCCTCCTCCCCCCCTCCCCTCGTTCCCTCCTTGAAGGCCTCCGACGAAAAAAGTATGGGGATGCGCTATGGGGATGCGCAGGTTCGGAGGCGACGACAGGGGCGAATCGCCCAGGGGAGAGAAGTGCATGCATCCAGGGTGCGCCGATGCTACATGCCTTCGGTGGGGCTCCCGGGCGGGTGCGTGCAGCGTCCGCCCCATGGGCTGTTCGCCCCCATCGTTGCCCACGAGGGGGGGGGCGTCGCGCGGGTGTCGCGCGCCGTCGCCCACCCACCCCCTTCTCCGCGGGGAGAGGCGACGCCGACGACTTCGACGCGGCCGCCGCGGCCGACCTCGTCATGGAGTACTTCCCCCTGAAGGCGGCCCCTCGTCTCGGGCAGGGCAGTGGCGAGGAGGCGTGGGGTGAAGTCGGGCCTGTCCTTCAACAGGAGGAGTGCTCAAGCATAGCAAGCAACAGCGTGGGGACGTTTTTTGTTGTTGTTGTTTTGTTTTTTGTGTTGCTGTTTCTGACTATTCTCTATATTGTTTGCCACCCGAATCCGCCTGTAGGAGGACATGCTCGACCTGAGCATGGGGGGGAGGTACAGAGTGGAGGATCGAAGGGTTCAGGGGTCGAGGGTCGAGGATGGGACGCTTCCTGCCGTCTCTGTGCCTCCTGGGGCGCCCCTGGGGCCGCAGCGGGATCCGCCACGGACGTCTGGCAAAATACCGCGCTTCGGGAGCTGTCAGAGATTCGAGTTGTCGAAAGAAGAAGGAAGACAAGATGAGGAGGAGGAGGAGGAGGAGGAGGAGGAGGAGGAGGAGGAGGAGGAGGCGGAGGGGCCAGAGCGGAGGAGAGGGAGGAGACGAGGAGGAGGACGACGGGGAGGAGAGAGCACACATCACGCAGATGGGGAGGGGCAAAAGAAGGAAGAGGAGGGAGGGGGAGGAGAGAATAGGAAGAGGAGGAAGATGAGGACGACGACGTGGAAGAGGAAGACCGAGGGACCCCGCGCGCCGGGCACCTCCCGGGGTGGCCCGAAGGCCTACCGGGGCCCTCGGAGGCGCACGGAGGCCCATGGCGGATGTCGGATCCCCAGAAGAATCGGCCGCGAGCGAGGGGGGGAAGTTCAGAGGAGGAAAAGGTACTCCAGATTTCGTAATAAAAGGGAGGGGGTCACAACCCTCCCAGACGAGAAGTTTTAGACCCCCCAGACTATCCATGAAAGGGCGGCCCTTTGCCCAGACCCTCCCGAACCCTCCAAGACAGCTCAAATTAGACCCCCCCCGAATGTGACCTCACCCACTTTGTTATGGAATCTGGAGTACCCATACCTCTACCCTTGCCTCGTTTTCTCCTTTCCTGGGCCTCCTGGGAGGCCCTCGTCGCCACCGCTGGATTCGCCTCGAAATCCTGGTCAGAACGCACCCCAGGAGAGGCTCCGAGGAGTAGCGGTATCGGCACCTTTTGGTTTCCCCAGAAGTGAGGAGGGGCGGTCCTTCTCAGAATCGGGGGAGCGTAAGACCCGGGTTTGCCGGGACTCGGGTTCGCCATAGTTTTTTGACGACCGCGACTCGGATTTTGACGAGGAGGAGTTTCGTGGGATGTCTGCAGCGGGAGGCCTCGTCAAAATGCAGGCTCGGCCTCGTCATTTTTTTGACGACCTCGTCGGGGATTTCCGAGTCCCCCGTACCCGGGTCTTACGTCTCCCCGACAGAAGTCTCGGAAGTCCCCCGGCCTTCTGCGAAGTCTTCCAAGCCTTCCCTGAAGGCACGGGCAGCTTCTCCGAGGGCGCGGCGTCTTCCGAGGAGGTCCCGCCTCCCTCTGGACAGGCCGCCCCCTTCTCGTTTCCCCTCCTCGCTCTCCGTCGAGAGAAGCCAGATTTCGAGCCGCCGATCCCTGGGATCCTCCTCCTTCCTCCTCCTCCTCCTCCTCCTCCTCCTCCTCCTCCTCCTCCTCCTCCTCCTCCTCCTCCTCCTCCCCCTCCCCCTCCTCCTCCTCCTCCTTCCTCCTCCTCCTTCCTCCTCCTCCTATGCTTAGCACGCTTGCCGTTTCACCCAATTGTCTAGTATGTCTCACAACTTCTGCCAACGCACCTATGTTGTGCATAGCGTCTGTCTGTCTGTCTGATCCCTGGGATCGGTGTCTGCCCATCCCCACGCCAGGGAGAGGCCAGCGGCAGCGGACCCATGCCACACCTCGTGGCGGGGTCCCCGCTCCCGTGAGGCGGCCGTCCACCCCAGGGGGGCCGCCGGGGAGCAGAGACGCCAGGGGTCTTGAGCTCATCGGCGAGGCTGCGGCATCGACACGACTTCTGCTGAGGCTTAGTCTAAATCACGAACGAACAACACACACATCCATACCTATACGGGGGTCGTTGGGAGGAGGACTGGCCATGGGTATGGGTGCGGGTTGTCGGACCCTGGGGACCGCTCCCGTTCGAGCGGGGGCCCCCGTTCGACAACACGCACCCATAGCCCTCTCCGACCCCCCTATGGGTATGGGTGTGTGTGTGTATGTGTGTGTGTGTGTGTGTGTGTTGTTGGTTCGTCACTAAAAAGTCGGGCCTTTTCCTCTCGTGATCGTTTTCTTATTCACCGTTTTGCCCATCGGCGCGGGCCCTGGCCTCCCCGCCCTCTGTGGAGTAGCTCCTGGCTGTTCTTGGCGCTTGTGCCGGGCAGGTGGAGCCTTCCCCACAGGACGCGCTGCTGCAAACGGTCGCAGTGAGCAGAGGTCCGGAGCCAGACCCCCCCCTCCCCTCCCCTCCCCCTCCGCCCAGTGTCGACACGCCCAGTCAGAAAACGCCTACCTGCCGGAGGAATATCCGAAAATAGGGAAGCATTGTCTGGGGACGATCTTTTTGAGTATTCTTTTGGGCA